TGTTCATGATCAATCCCGCCTTCATAACGAGATATTTCAACAAGAAATTAGGGGGATTGGCTTCAAGTTTTTGTTTCGATTTTTGTATTATATCCGCATTATATATTTTCGCGATACTGCGCCAAATTTCGAGATTTCTGACGAAAATCAGGTGATGCATGTTTATGCCAAGCCACAGAAATTTTACTACGCTAACAAGGCACGTGCCAGCAATTTGATATTCAAAATTTTCTCGGCGAATATCAATAGAAAAATGTCCGAGATGCACATTCAAAAAAAATGGATGAAGTTCTTCTAGAATCTATCCAAGCGTTACTAACATACCTTTGTTTTCAAATTTATTCTCGTATAGCAAATTTTGCAATTTAGATCGATGATGTAATTTTTCGTTTGATTTGGATAAAAGGATCAACTGGTGAAACTTACCTCTTTGGTCCAAGAATCAAAATTTTCATCCATGGAAAATATGATGAAAATTTAGAGAAAGAAATAAATATATTTGCTATGGAGTAGCTTCACTGCGTGAGTGATGGGGGAAATATGATAAGGCAAATTCGGGAAATTTCGTTCCGATAACTGCGCATTTATCGGTGATTCGTCTCAGTTGTATAAACTTTCTTTCCGGAATGCTATAGATCAAGACTTCGGAGGCTAAAGGCTTAGAGGTTTCTGATTTAACGATATAGAATTGATGACGATTTTGATTATTTCGAATTTTTTTTTCGTTTTACTTGACGGATGCTTCATACGATTAGCATGTCGATCAACAACTATGTTACTAGTGATACAAAAATTATGCTTAATAGTGTTACATTAGTCACGATTTTCTAGTTGACAAAATGTTTTCCCCTCGCACTTTGACACCTATAATTATTCGACGTTTTGCTAATTATTATTTCCCAAAAGGAATAGGTGGTTGTTTCAGATTCCAGATATGTATTAACGCATACAAGAGTCAATCCGGTTTTATGAAAGAAACAGGTGGCCTGTCAGTCGATTTGCCAAATTGCAGATTCTTTCAATCTCGAAAAAGGAACTTAAGCCGGGATACTAGTGCCGTAAAATGTTCCCTTTCGGTCGAAGAAATAAAAAAGTGGAATCCAGCACAAGTTGTTAGTTTTTTGGAGTCTCAAAAAGACAAGTTACATGTTAATGATGATTATATTAATATAATTAAGAAGGCTAATGTCTCTGGTTCAGACTTCCTCCATCTTTTAGCAGTAGATAAGCTCAAAAGTATCGTAGCTAGGATACCCACCAATAAAGTTCACGTCTTTGTTGACAACTCCAATATTTGGATTGAAGGAAAGTATGCTGTTGGCGAACTCGAGCGGTTGGGTTCTTTTGATTATGACAGAAATTCCTATTATTTCGGCCAACTTCGTATTGATTACGGTCGACTTCTTACAACGGTTCAGCGTGAACGTGAGTTGGGCAGTTCTCCTGTCATTGTTGGCTCACGCCCGCCACCAAACGATTCTTTGTGGGAACGCATTCGACAACAAGGGTATGAGGTTAGCTTGAATAATCGTGAGAAAAAGGTTGATGCGACACTCGTATGTTCTATGTATGAAGTAATCTCCAAGGAGGATCCTGGAGTATTGGTATTGATTGCTGGTGATCGCGATTACGAACCCGTGATAACACAAGCCCTCAATAAAAAATGGATTGTCGAAACGTGGTTTTGGAATTCAGGTATAAAGTGTTATTATGTTCGAAGTTACATGAATTTCCAAATTTTACCTATAATATCCTACCTATAGGGATGTCTATGGAACTTATATCTAAAACAAATTTTAATTCTTTGGGCAACTATTATCGGTCCTTCGCATACGGCTATGGGCCTGATCGTGGCGAGAAAAGTTATATTCTTGAAATTACTGATGGAGATGTAATTACTAGTTGGGAAGACCAAGATATATTTAAATGGTTTAATACATTGAACTTATTTGGTTGGTGGAATTGGATTGGTTATGAAACTTTGCAACTGTATTTCAATAATACGACGAGCTTGAAGGTGTTAAAGACGTGGGTTAAAGATAATCATCAAGATGTACAAGTTCGGGAAAGAAATTAATGAGGCAATCCATAATTTTCTGATACAAAAAGCAAGTATAGGAGAAAATCGTTGTATTGCCATACATGTTAAACTACAATAATGAAGTATATCAGATTATTTTATTTTAATGTAAATTGCATTCTGCAAATGGGTCTCGGCAATACCGATTATTATAAAAATAAATGCTAAACGAGATAAATATATTTTACATCACATACTATACACAAGTTAAAAATCACGAGCCCGATGTGGGTAAACTTTATTAATTATTCACGAAACAAATGATGCTATCAAAGAGGGAGGGAGTACTCGGATCCTAGGCCATAAATGAGAGTCCTAGCATCAATTTTATTTCGCACTACTACCCCACTGAAAGTGTTACTGTTATTACTATTACTACTGCTACTATTACTATTACTGCTAAAACTAACTACTTTCTTATTTCCTTCCTTCTCAATCCATTCAATAATTTTATCCTTAGAAGTTCTTGGTGATTTTTGATGACGATAATGTGCTAGCACTAAGACCAATTTCGATTGATAAAATATTGTACAATTGTGTTGGAGAACGAGCTTCTCTTTTCCTCCTGTTATTAAAAAGGGCTGTAAATTCGACCCAATATGTTTCATATTCATCCGTATATTCGGAATATTGTCCCATGGAAACGTGACTTGTGAAAGAGAATCGAGTGATTAGCATATTTTTTGTGCATATTTCCCATATTTATTCGAAAAAAGATAACTTATCCCGGGCAGATATGTTATCTGGATATACTATACTTATGAAAAAAGTTTGGAATGACCCACCAATACATGCTGTATCATATAACAATCGTGAAGACTCTTCTCACTTCCAACCAATAGAAGCGGGATCTACCAGCTAATTATATGATAACGTCTGCGATGATATGTTAGAAAAAAAGATAAAATATTTCCGGTGAGTCTTGCAATAAAGTAACGTCACATCACCCACATACAGCATACATTTGGTTAAAACGACTCGCAAACTAACTTTATTTATTAATCATAAGAAATAGCAAAGATAAACTAAAAAAAACATTTTGATATGTGGCGTAGTGGTCTCGTGGCGTGAACTATAGTTCACGCGATCTGCAAAGAATTTATGATTCCTGAGTAAAATGAGCTATAATACTTTTGATTTGATTACATGTAAGCTTTGAAATATTATCCGCACTATAGGATTGAACCCTCTTGACTTTTTTAATCCCTATTTTATTGAAACAATTCGAAAATATTTCTTGCCCTCTGTGTCTTCTTACGTAAATTTTCTCTTGTAATGTTTGAAAGATGTTTTAAAATTGCATTATATACCTGGGTCCTAGCCTGTTGATCTTTAACCCTCTTATCATTATCTTTAACATCCTTAACACTTTTTTCAAACCGTTCAGCATAGTAATACCAACAGTGAATTTCCTCTTGATAAGCTTAAGTTACACGCTTTTCAGCCTTAATTGCTTTTTGGAATAATCGAGCTAAATTCTGCGAGATCAAACCCCCAGAACCCTCATCCTCATTATTGGTTTCGGTAGTCCCCCCCTTAATAGATGTAGATAATTCATATAATAACCCTCGAAATCTTTCCTGTTCACGATTAGTTCTTGGGGATATTTCTCTTGATGATTGGATTTGTGTATTAGCAATGTTATCTTCAGTTGTTTAATTAATCGAATTATCAATTCTTCAATCATAGATTTCAAGGAATAAACAGAATGAAAGGTGAGTGTGATTACTACATATTCCATTTTCACTGCATTACCTACCTTATTTGGGAACTATATTGTTATTCCAATCATCATTTTCAGCATCATCGATGATATCTGATAGCTTTGGTATCTATTTCACATACGCAATTGGACTTGTTGCTTGATTATGCGTAGTAACTTCAGTTCTCTTTTCCACCTAACCTGCAAGAGAATCTTCGTCTTCTATAGTATCATCACTTAAGGGGTCTTTTTTTCTGAAATCATTTTTCTTAAATACCATGTGACACTCACCAGAAACTAGTGCAAGTTCCTTTCTAATAAGTTCAATAGGTGATATACAACTAGAAATAAAGCATAAAGGAAAATGTGTTTTTGATCGTACAATATATTTTTCATGACATATTCAATAGTATATATGTTCATATAATAATACTGTGAATTAATAAAGTGTAAGGCAAAAATTTCTTTATCACAGAAGTGACAAGGATTAAGTTTTGAGATATGTTCATCAGTTATTTCAAAAGTGTTTCTTAGAAAATTTAACAAATGTGCTTTAAGTTGAAAAACTCTGTATCATTCGCATAAATTTCTAAAGGACTTGCTAGTAGTTCGCTAGTCATACTGTTAAATCATAAAGAAAATTTCTCGCTCTTTTCTTTCTACATAAATATTTTTCATATATCAAAACTAAAATGAAATTAACCTTGCACTGAGAAAATTCTCGGAAATGAACATCTCAGAAATAAGCATCATAGAATAAAGATCACAAATAAAATCAGAATCAATGATGAAAAGATATATATAATACCAATTAGTTTGTATTATTTGATTTTTGCCATAACAGATAAAAAGACTATCTCACCTTATCTTTATATTATGATTCACTAAACAGCTGGCTTATCTCCTGCAGTACCAAAGCTATACATGAAATCGAAATGAAAACCCAAAAAGTCGAAATGTTTCGACTTTGAAGGTTAAAGTCAAAATGAAAAGTCAAAATGGTCGAAATTACGTCATATCACATGATTTTTTATATATAGAAAAAACAAAAAAAAACAAAAAAATACGATCTCAATCAATATCACACCGATTCATATAAAATAACTACCATTCGATTCCTCTAAACTAGGTGGATCCAATGAGCTAACATTCATTAATTTTGGATCATTCCATCTCAAGATATTTGCGATCATATTTCGAAATCCAGACTTCTTTATTTAAAGTAGAATTTATAGATTAATAATTTCGGCCGATAATACAATTGTGAGTATCTTGTGATTGGATGATCCAAATCAATGAATGTTAGCTCATTGGATCCGCCTATTTAGAGGAATCGAATAGTAGTTATTTTTTACGAATTGGAGCGATATTGACTGAAATTGTATATCTTTTGTTTTTTTGTTTTTTTTATATAAAAAATCATGTGATATGATGTCATTTCAACTATTTCGCGACTTTAACCTCTAATGGTCAAAATGATTTTGACCATTTTAACCATTTCGGATATCCGAAATGATCCATTTCGACTTCATGTATAACCAAAGCTATAAATAAGGAATTTATTTCTGAATTTCAGCTAACATGAAATCCATTTCCATTGTCTAAGACTTTTGAGGATCAGGTTGGAATATTGGTAAAGAAACCTATATTTGGAGTTTTGAACCATTTGCCTCGGGAATAGATTCAGATTCATGGTCAGATTCAAAACCATTGTCTATCACCCATATAAGGTTGCTGGACGAAATCAAGAGTTTAGACAGATGTCTAAATAGTAAAAGTAAAACTTGGTTAAATTATATTAA